TTTTACTACTAGTACTATCATTGCGAGGTCTCTGGTAGGGTTTATCATTCCTGGTAGTTATTTCATTCCCTACCACGCATGACTCTTCTCGTGGAGAACATCGGTAATGGTAAGCATGATCTTCTTCCCATTTGAATTGCGCCCATGCTCTTGAGTGCAAGTCTTCCATGGCTCTGCACTGATACTTAGTCAGTTCTTTGTACAGGTCACCGTCTGGGAGTAGACCTTTCTTGAAAGCAGAGATGGCTTGTGGAAGTAACGTAACTTTTTTCTTGTTGAAAAGTCCAGCGTAACTGCAGAGAGATTCTCCTCTTTTTTTGTATACTGGTTAGCTTCAGGATTGATCTCTTTCCGACTCTGTGGTATAGTACTCATGATTGTTCTTTCATGTGTAATATTGCAGCAAATTTCAAAGTTGAGATATGAATTATGCCCACAAGTCATGAAAGAAAGAAGATTCTGGAGGATATATTTCACCTTAGTGAGCACTCATGTTGCACCGTAAGGCTCTACCATTCTCTTCTCAAAGACTTACATTTTTAAAAGTGTAGGCAATTTAGTAGAATAAAGAGTAAAAAGACTCCAGATTGAGAATCATTTATAAAAGTGTAGGCACTTGAGTATGATAAAGAGTAAAGATTCAGACTGGCAACCGCATTAAGCAGATATGAGAGGAAGTACATGGAGGAACTTAGGAACAAAGCAGAGAATAAAGACGAAGAAACTAAAGAAGACTCCAGCAGTTGGAAGGATAAAAACAGATGAAAAAAATGTGACAAAGAATAGAACATCGACTACGTCTACTGCATTGGCAACTCTGTAAGTCCCATTTGCTTCTTTTTGTTCTTAAAAATATACAACAACAAGAACATCTTCCACTGTTTCTTTTTTAATATGAAGATCGAGAATCCTAGAATAAGAGTTGAACAGTTTCTGGTGTTTTGGAAGAGCATTGGTAACAGGTATTGTAAAGTTGAAGATTGGCAATGAGACAAGGTCGTTGGTTGTAGAGAAAGAACTAAGGTTCTTTTCAGACATCACCAAGGTTTGCCTCTTATTTCTAAATACTATGCATCTTGACATGTTGTCCTCTCTTCTCTATTCTTTTTCTACAGAAGGGATATTTATTCTTAGTCGTCATATTGGCTTGGACGAGGGTTCTCCGTAATAATTATGACCCATACCTTTAGCTAATTTAGCTCGTACTTGGATGCTTGATGGCCGGAGTGGTAACCTTAACATGAGGAGGAAGACAAATTATCTTATTGTGGAATAGAATTTTGGAAACTAAAGGATTGGAAATTTGGAAATGAGTAATGATTTGGAAATTTAGAATTTGCACAATTGAAATAAATTTCTACTTTTTGTGGTACATGTATGGATACTTTTTTCTAGACTTTTTATTTTATTTTCGCTTTTAAACCCAATAAATATATAATATTGATTAGAAGAAATATACAACACGAAAATATAAAATTTTTAACAAAAAAAAAACAAGAAAATATAAATTTTTTTTTACCATATATTGGATTTGAATTTATAAAATGATCAAATTTAAATTCATAAAAACTTCATATAAAAAAATCTCAAATCAATTCAAAAATTTAATATTTTTAATTACAAAATATTAATATAAATGAAATAATGTGTTTTGTTGACAAATGGATGTGAAACAATTTACATAATTGAGATTTATTGTATTTCTCAATTTGAAAAAATAAATACAATAAATTATTGTTTCATAAGAAAATCATAAACAAAATAATTTATTAAAAGTAAAAAAAAATAAAAAGGATAAATCATGAGTATTTAAGGGTTTAGGGTATAACAAGACATATATAAATTTGATATAGGGTTTTGACTTTGAAAATCAATGAAAATGTTTCACTTAGGGTTTATGATTTATGGTTTGAGGAACTCAAAACCACGAATGCTAAATAAAAACCCTAAACCCTAAAACTACTTTGATTTATTTATATGCATTTGAATACCAACTCCTAAACATCTAAATCACAAGAACTAAACCATGAAACCA